TCAACAGTCGATAATTCCGAGTTTTGAAGAATATTTGTTCAATTCAAAGTGCGTGCTGTATGACACATCCACGGGCTTCATTTATCTACGAAGTATTGATTTATATCTCGTTAGTTTAAAAGATACAGTAAATCCCGAGCAGTTTTGCTGTTCTATGATACGCTTGTTTACAGCCGAGTTCGTAATGTGATATGTCGTTTAGAGATCGGAGTGCGATCGGGGACAAAGGTACACCCGAGTTCGTAATGTGATATGCGTTCGGGACGCAAAGGTCAGCCCGAAGACAAAGGTCTCACATAGAAAAAAAAAACAACAAAACTAAACTCGCTGCATTTTCTGAATCGTGACCCGGCCAAGGGCCTGGTCACGAGTAATTATGTTGCGGAAAGGTCCATTGTTTACTTGACCTTTTAACGTGCCTGCTCAAGCTCTAACGTGCATGTCACATTATATATGCAAATTTATATCAGAACAGGATTAGCAACTGCAAATCACAGACGTTCTCTCCCCGATTTTTTGAGGGGTGAGAAACGGATGTACACAGGCTAAATTCTTTCTGCTAACGTCGTTCTGTTTTACATCAAGGACTTATTATTTTATGATTATTTACTAGTCTAATATACTTAGAGTGAGTACAACATTACATATCTATTTATTATTCGTTTTTAGTACTAAGTTAATTGCAAGTGAATAGTAAGTCTTTATCATTTTTAATAGAAGACTTTCTATCATTACACCGATGAGAAGGGTGCACAAGGGATATCAGAAAGTGGCAAAATCAAGGAATCCACAGATACTCAAAGAGACGCAATTCTTGGACGAGGTAAAACTATTTATTATTATAAATAGTCAAAAGCTGATCGGCATAAATAATTCAAGATGAACCTACCGAGCCCTTTGCCACTTCCCTTTTCCAAAGGATTGTCAGACTGTCATCTATAGATTAGTTATTACTGGTGTAATTACTGGGAGCGTCCATGATGCGCTTTGTGTTTGGTTACAGCGTTTTTATAGACGTGTCTATTTTTAGATTTTTTCCGACCAATGAGCAGTCACTTTAATTCAATATTACGCGCGCATGGAAAACCCGCGGGAAAGCTGACTAACTTAATAAACAAACATGGTGGACGATTGTGAAAGCGAATTTTCTCCTGGTTTTTCTGAAGTAAGCAGTATGTGAAGAGCCTACTACTGAAGAGACGACCGAAGAGAAATCTAAAAATTGACTCGTCTGTAATAAGGGACCGTTCATTAATTAGCAAAGGTAACTTTTTTTAGGGGGCCACCTTATTCTAAATAGAAACGTTTCGACCCCCCCCCCTCCCCTCAAAAAACAACAAAACATTCACATACCCCCTATGTACTAAAAAATATTCCTCCATGTTCCCGACACTCTTCCAGTACAAGTTGTAGTTATACACTCTCAAACTTCTCAAAATCAGTGTCATTGTTTGTTATCATGTCATCATCTGTTTCTTAACTTATTAGTCCTATGGATACAGCACTGTATTCATCCTCAAAGTCCACATCACTTATATTACTGTATCAGAGTCTCTGTTTGACAGCTTTGTGCTGTGTGAGCAGTGATTGTACTTTTTAACTCGGAGATTGCGCTAGCAATCGTAGAGTTATTGGGAGGGGACGAGCTGTCACTCGCTCGCTCGATCACTTTCCTGTAAACTTGAGCCTGCGATGTTTTTGTCAGCAGTTATTCATTTAATGATATTAATATATTCTACTCATTCTACTTACTTGCTCTAAATGATCTCCCTGTGCTTTTCGATTAATCATTATTTATTATTAATATATTCTCTACTTTGGTTACTATAGTAACTTCTATATTATGAAATTCATTTTAGACGGTCCGCCTCTGTTTCAGCTACGAAATAAAATTCTTGTTCCCACCAGGTTTCGAACCCGCGACCTCTGAATTGTACGCCAAGCGCCTTAACCGATTGTGCAACGGTGACACTTTGAGGAAACTTGGCGTGTTTTAGTAGTTTTATAGGGAGCGCCGCTGTTCGAGTCCGGCTTGAGACAGGACATTTTTTTCTTTTTTTCTTTTTGATGTTTTGGAGATTCTCTT